GAGCTTCAATAAGCATGAAGGTGGTGGAGTATTTCTTCATATTAAGAATTCACCCTATAATCGTTCCTGGAAATCTACTACCCATCCGAAATAGTCATCTGAGTGACTAATTCTAGGGACTATAAGCTACTTATTGGAGTAATGTGTCGAAATCCGAATTGCTAATGTAATCAAGATGTAAAAATTAATTAATAATGGTAGTAAATAGTGACAATAATAATGACGAAATGCATGACAAACATGCACACAATGATGACAAAACCAGCTGTAAGGAATTCAAATTATCAGTAGTACTTGCATATACAAAGAAGGAGAATTCTTAACATTTCAGAAATGAAAATGACATATGAACTCAGAGACTCAGAAATAAACTATGTCGGTTAAAAGATTTTGTGAAGCCTTTGAAACAAAACAGTTTAGTTTATCTAATACCCTGCCTGCAATGATTGTCAGGTCAAATACATCGGTCAAAGTAGTAGAACAGGGGTAGTCAAACCAGAGGAGCACAAAAACCTAGCAAAACCTATACTAGTTGGTCCTAATAAGATAAGAAATCTGGAGAATAGTTCAGCTATAGCACTTAATGCAATTACAAACAACCATACAATAGTATGGAAAAGATGTCGGTTTTAAAATCTGATATAACAGAGTGGAGGGAGAGGTTGATAGAGGGAGCTTTACTTATCGAATCAGCTGAAAGTTTTTGCAATCTATATGATTCAACGCGTCTTGGACATCTGTACAGTCCTACTACCCCTACAACGAATAGGGAGGAATAAAGAAAACTATAGAAGAGAATTTTAGAAGTTGTGTAGTTATGTGATTTTTAAACTATATGGTGTGTTCGAAATATCATCCAGTAAATGACACTGTTTCACTGTATTATATCTAATAAACAAATCAATACGAAAGTAGGTGCAACAGCTACCTTATTCTAGATAACTTCTACGCGCCCTATATAGACTGAGCTGCTCTTTTATCTACGTGATCCATTAATAAACTTCCCAGCAGATTAACTGAGTTATCAGAATTCTGGCTCCCATGAAGAATGCCCTGGTTCAACATGTTTTAGACAGTATACACTATCCTGATGAAACTTGCGCTAATTAACACTTATGCATAATGTAGGTTACATAAATAGTCTAATTATTCATTCTCTTGTCATTAAAAGTGACCTTATGGTCTTATCGTTTAAAAATAATATTTGTGATTCAGTCCGAAATCAACCTCAGATTGACTCTGAAACTGATGTTATAGCTACTAAGAAATGTTCTTCAACTTTTCACTGGTCATGAAATACTGAACTGTCTAATAATTATGCTCTGTATGGTTAGATCTGAATTTATCCCTTGGAAGGGAGGGTTCCTAGTAAGCCAAAAATCCTTGCTCCGTGGATAACTAGACAGGTCAGGACACTCCGCAAGCCGTGGTGAAGTAAGTGGAATGTTCCTATCTCCGCTAGGTTGCAACATTTCTGTCTTAGATACAGCCAATCAATCGGTAATCAATGCAAGGTTGTGATTTACCAATGTAGGAAGACATGAATAACAGCTAGTCAGGAACTCACAAGCCTATCCCAAAGGACGTTTTCCACATATGAAGGGAACCACTAGAAGTGATGCCATCCTTACTTTTGTATTTGGAAAGGGTTGGACAAGCCCTCCTGATAGTAATTTGACATAGACTAAGGCTCCTGCGTCAAGCTACTTCAGCCGAGCATCCTCTCAAAAAGGCAATCTACCTTGGCAGGTTTACTGGAAGCTGGTCTATGAAGGAAGCATCAACATTACAAACGTGATACCATCTTAAAATTACTTGAAAAAAAAACTATCCTGGTAAATCTGGTTTTTATATCTTTAGTATTTATCATTATTATTTATTATCACCATTCTTGCGGGTGCCTTTTGTTACGTTTTACTAAGATTTTTTCTCACCCTAATCACACTTTTCAAATGGACGCAATTTGCAATCTACACAGTTCGAGGAGGTCAAATCTCAGCACAGTTTCCTTTGGAAACCGAAACTGTTCAGATCGTCATATCATAAGTGTGAATGAAGAGAGCAAGCATACTTGCATATCCGATCAGTAGTCTATAGTTTTTTTTGCAAAATATGTTGGCCTTTTTAATAACCATTTACAGTATCAAGCCGATCACATACTGGGGTGTGAAAAATTTGATTTCCAAAGGAAACTACGATGAAATTTCACCTCCTCGAACTGTGTAGATTGCAAATTACGAATCTGATTTATGATGTCCCCTGAAGTAGCGAGCTAGGAATCAGGTCGTTTGAAATAATTCAGCTCTCTTAGCTGAGTCAAATCATTGATGAATCCGGTCGCAAATGGGAAAAACGGCTTTCCAGAGTTTAGATCAACTCAAGCTTGGCTAACAAGCACTACTAGTTGATATGAGTAGTATACAACTAGTCATCTCAATCAATCAGTAATATGTACTTTTATGCGAATTTAGCACTGATACATTTCGTATAGTGTATGCAACCTATTACAAGCTTCATTTAGGATATAAAACCGAAGCAGCGAGCACACTTTCCAAGTGTAAAACAGATATCTCAAATGATTTTAAAGATTGATGAATAAATTCATCAGGGAATTTTCAAATCTCTTATCTAAGGAGAAATGGATAGCCTAGGTTTATTTTCACTTTCATTTCGGTGACATTACTTAACTATAATTCCCCTAGGTTCTGAGTGGAACCTAGGACTTGAACACGGCATCTCACTTCAGCAATTCCTAATATACGTAAATATTTAGATGATAATTTATCGTGCTTATTTCTTCCTTCTACCTGCGTCGGTGGCACAGTGGTTAGGACTCTCGCCGACCATGCATATAGTCCAAGGTTCGATCCCCTGCCGACGCACACCTGATATCTATGGTCGGCCTGTAAAATTTGGGTTACCGATATCCATGCTGAAAATTCCATACTTGTACCAAATAATCGAAAATAAAAAAAATAAACCGACCACTTAGGAGGATATCACTATAAAGTCTAAAAGCTACGGCTGAACAGTTCACGTCTAGAAGTTAATTTCTTGCATCGAATTGTGAACCGCTGGAATTTCAAACCGAAGCACATTGCATCAGAACTTTCTGCAATTAATAGTGTTCTCTGAGCTGGTTGGTTTAGTTACGGAACTTCCTGTTGATTCATCCACAAAAAAATTGAGCTTCTACTATACAGCAAATCCATAGGATTAATATAAGCCTAAAATCGATTATCCTTAATAATTTATAATACAGTCCATTCACCTAGTGACACAGGAGCAAGTGAAGGAATTTAGACACTTATTTTTCAGTGGAGGAATACTACTATCTCTAACTTCTTAACGGAGTAGGAGTAGGATATTTTAGATGCACAAATGAATGCTTCCCTTGTACCGTTCAGCGGTATAAAAAACAGGCTCATATTTCGTGTATATCAGCTCTCAATCCAATGCTTTTTCCGCATTAAGAAACAAACCTATAAATAATAGCCAGTTATGCATTCCATTTTGGTTTGTAATAGACACATCTTTATAATATTTTATCTCTTGTTCTATGAAATAAAGCCTCTTAAAAGTAATACTTTACATTTTGTTTAATCTTCGAAATAAAGATCTAGAGTTTCATTAAAATTCACTTTCTCCATACTCACTTAATTAGTATTATTAGTATGCTACTGATAAAAACAGAATGATTGTTTCAATTATTATTAGAATCGCGTGATTTTTCCACACAAAAGCATCACAGATGCGATTCAGTTTTGCATAACTTTCGTTCTATTCAGAGCACTAAGAGAAATCTAAGCTGGATTTTTTTGTACTAAACTGTCAAGATTTTACGAATGACTGTTGATTCAGCATGAAATACGTGCGATTTTTTCTTTACCGTGGTGAATTTCAGTGACCTAATTATACATTAAGTTTTAAAATATATTAACATTTCATCTATCTACATTGATAAATCCGTTAGACCTTTATATCTAATTTCTAATCACCCTAGTTGAATGCATGAAATTCTGGTTACATTTTCGATCCACAGTGGAAACTCTTGCTATATAAAAGAAAATCCCTGAACTGTGTATACGAAGCATATTGCCCTCCACCTAACTCGAGTGACTGAACACAGATATTTTCAAGAATGGAGAGCTAATTCTATCCTCCACTTCCATCGACCAAATCTCACAAATGAAGGAATAAATGAACCAATAGGTGTACGGATATCACACCTACTCCAAAGGTAATACACTTTAGAGAATACCAATATATGTGCTGAGATTTAGTCAGCAAAAACAGTCAATTACAACTAAATTAACTTCTTAAATAAGTAAAGCGGTGAACAAGCCCAACGATATCATTTTGTATCCTCAAAATAGGAGTTGGCGCAGATCAGTTCTGCAGGACCATTATCTTACATTTGACAGGAAAAAGTAGCAAGTCAAACATACGAAGATTTCCGCTTAGTATTCGGAGAACTGCATTTTGTCAGTGCCTTCATTTAGGACGACTACATCATCTTCTAACCTTAAGTAAATGAGTAACAAGTCAATCTTTTAAACACGGAAGTCGGATACAATCACGTCTGTCAGCATATCTATAATGAAATGCAGTGGTAACATTGATTATTGCAAATAGACACAACCAGTTTTCTTCACTTCAGATGACAACTCTCTGTAGATTTCTATACGGCTGCACAATTTCACATAAAGTGAAGTTATTAGTAAAATGTACAACCTTCACAGTCAAACATTAATTAAAATAGTATTTCTGAGTCAACAAAATGAAATTCCACTTTAAGGTCAAAAAATCTGTCACATGCTGAATACCTGTTGGTGGTATACATGTTTTCTATAAACTGGTTGTGTGAAGACATCTGTATACCCTCCTACTTCAGATATACAATCCGCTTGGTTTTTTCGAGCATTATTTAGCCTTCGCAGAACTATGGGACCCAGCATCCTATAAAGGGTGAAATACCACTAGAGATTCAAAACATCACGTTAACTGTTACTTCATTGTATTTTTTTAAATATAAGAATACAACTGACCAATTTTACATTGTACACCCAAATTTTTCCGAACAGAGACTATACAAAATTAATTAAAAACAGGCATGAAAAGTAAACGCCTGAACTCTTTCAGTAATGATAAAAACAGATTTGTAATACCGAATAGAAATGGTGATTTTACCAAAGGAAGAGAAAAATTAAAATACTGACAGAACTGAAGCCCATTTGGAATTATCGAAAAGAAACCATGAAGATATCACAGATGAAAAGCGAAGTAAAAAGGGAATCCTTGAAACCTGATTCATTCAGTGCTGAAGAGCGAGATTGAGTTATTAAAATTAATTACGAGATAATAGTGCATAAATACTGCTGTAATCCATTTTTTAATTTTTTATTTGGTAATTACTACCACTGTTAATATTATTATTATTACTATTCAGTAATAGAATTTCTTAAAACCAATACAATATCATTTAAAGAATAAAATGATCTAGAAAAGTCGCCTTCACATAGATATGGCAAACGTGTCCAACGTATTACTTCATAGTTAGCTGGGATAAGAATATTTTTAATTAAACTAGACAATTGTACTTCCCACTGATCACTATCAGTTATCGCAAGTAATTCATTCGGTCGCTTATCTGTGGTAGCTAAAAAATAAAATATGAAACTTATTTAGTGGGAACATTATCGAATTCTTAATGCAGAACATTGCACAAAAGTGCAACAATCTAATCTGCCACACACTTAGAAAAATATGACACAAAAAGGGAGGGGGATAAATAAATGCAAACAGAAAACAAAACCTACAATAAACAGAATTTTTTTTGATTACAGCTTGATGCCACGCAGTATTTTTGGTACAAGTATGGAATTTTCAGCATGTGATATCGGTAGCTCAAAAATTTGCAGGCCGACAATAGATATCAGATGTGCGTCGGTAGGGGATCGAACCTCGGACCATGTGCATGGTCGGCGAGAGTCCTAACCACTGTGCCACCGACGCACGAGAAGGAATAAGTACATGGAGAATTACGAGAATTTATTGAATCTCAAAGAACAGAAAGAGTAGGTGCATTCACAAGGATCTTGTGGAATTTCGTAATAAAGTGTCAGCTTCTACTGGATGTGAATATGACAGAATCTTTTCTTGTTTACACAAAGTGATGTGTATAGGCAGCTCCGAGCGAAAACAAACTGAATGAAATCAGAATATATTTCTAATTAATGACTACTAACAAATATGAACTTTAAGCTCAGAACAGCATGTTGCCTGACATTTAACGTCTGGTATTCAATTACAAAACATCATAGCTTAATGACAAAATTGAAAACTTGATAAATGTACTTCGGATCAACAGTGAAAAGCTGTGGGATATATATCGGTCATATATATGGTGATCAAAGAATCATTTCTCTTTATTAATTATTATTATTATATCATTTAATTCCTAGAGGAACATAGGTCTTCAGCTGCGCTTCTCCATTGCTTTTGGTTTTCTGCCAACTTTTTCACCTCGCTCCAAATCTGCCCACATGCTTTCATATCCTAATCACATAACCTCCTCCAAGTCGACCTTGAAAAGACGACCAACACACCGCTTCCCTTTCGGGTTCCACTCGATGCCTTGTCTAGTGATGTCACTTGGTGATTTCTCAGCCTATGGCCAATCCATCTCCATTTCTTCCTGACTATTTGTTTCACAATCGGTTTCTGGTTGGTTCGCTCATTGACAGAGATCTCTGTTGCTGATCTTTTCTGACCGGCCATCTGATCTTGAGTATTGAGCGAAGAAAACTGTTAATGAAGGTCTGAAGTTTGTTTGAGATGCTCTTAATGACGCATAGTGCAAGTCTCTGATCCGTATAGTGAGTAGCACTGACTTCACATTGGATTTGAAAATCCGGATCTTATTTTTGATACTGAGTGCTGTTGACCTTCACACAGACTTGAGAGTAATGAAAGCTTGTCTTGCTTTTCCGATTCTTGCTTTGATATCCTCGTCAGTTCTGTTCGCCTGTAGTTGAAACGATGCTTCCCATGTCGGTAGGTAAAGGAGGTTGTTTCTTTCAGGTTCCTCCCATTTATGCTAGCTGATTGTTGTCTGTTGTTGTTGCTGCTGTTGGTGTTGTCCAGGAATCTTCATCACCTCTGTTTTATCTATGTTCAGTTGAAGTCCTATCTTCTCTGAATGCTTCTTCTGCCAACTTGTTGCTTTTCACTTGCATATCTTCCAGTTTGTGGGAAATCAGACAGATATCGTCGGCGAAGTCCAGATCCTCCAAGTCTTTTGTGTGGGTCCATTTTATGCCTGTTTCCTCATTGCCCGTTGTCTGTCTGTCACATTATCCAATCTACTGCAATCAGGAAGATCATTGGCGATAGTAGACAGCCAGTCTTGCCTCACTCCCGTCCTCACTTCGAAGGATTCCGTAAGTTTCCCGTTGTGGATTACTTGGCATGCAACATTGTTGTATAACTGTTGGATGAGATGTATAAAAGGCGATGGCACCTCGTAGTAGCGATGTAGTTGCCAAATCACCTTTCGATCACTAGAGAAATGAGTTTTATGTAACTAAGCAATTGTAGCACACTAATCGAAAAGCCTCTTTTTCCTAATAAGTTACAAAAAATTTATCTGAAATGAAACACAACAGTAGATAATTCTTGATATTCTTCCGCTGTCTACCAAATACAAAAAATATTAAATCGCCCATCATATTGTGTAAATACACAAACATTTACAACAATTACATCTGATGATGACTAAAAGAGAAAGCGGGGAAAGATTTTATGATATAGACTGCACAGTATGAATGAGAACCACCACTCAATAACGTAGATAATATTCCTGACATGGGAAATGGTTTGACTCATTGACAAAGAACTTTGCACAGAAGTGAATCACTCAGAGATACTACGCTTTAAAGAAGTATACATGATTGGTAGAGAAAAGAACTGTGGTGAAACTACAGAGGAAAAATATATGGATGGTAGGATAATCAGACATATATCAGTGAGGACATTTACAGCCTCTCTGATAACAAGTAGAGAGTTTATATACATCACTGTAAACGACTTCAAGTTACATCATCAACTTAACATCTCGAAGACCTCAAACACCTTTCCACGTGGCACAAACCAACAGTCACAGACTTCATGGATCAGTGTGATATCTTTGTCTGATTACCCTTTATCAAACTAATCCTATATCAGCTAACATTCCCTGTGATACATTATACCATCAGCCACTGTCTGTCTGTTTTCGACATAGAACTTTGCACAAATGTGCGGAAGTTCAAGTCGCCACATTCCGTGTAGCACGCGAAGCAAGAGAAGAAAGTACAAGAAAAGCATAATAGAAACAGTGAGCAGAGGTGTGAGACAAAGGAGTAATAAAGAAGAAAAAAACAGTTTCATTGGAGATCATAAGTCACAAGGAGTGGATGCATCTGCGCCACTGAGAACGATTTTGAGCCATGTCACCAATTGTTTCCAACCATAGATTTTTACCGTCCCGAGGACCCCAGCCTGGAAGTCTACACCTTTCTACGTGGCTTAGACCAACTGTTGTGGATTTCATTGACTGATGCCAAGTTTTTGTTTGACCGCCGCTAGCTTTTTTCCAGCCTGACCCTATATCCGCTAACATTGCTCGTCGAGGGAGGCGATGGCTTGGCATACGTAACACATGTCCTAACCATCTCAGTCTTTGTAGCTTCACGACTTCGTCGATTGATTTCCCCTGTTTACCTAGAACTCTACGCCTAACCTCCATGTTGCTCACCTTATTATGCCACTTTACACGGGAAATAGAACGCAGGCACCTATGATCAAAGACAGCTAGTCTTTTCATGTCTTCCACTCTCAGTGGCCAGGTCTCACAACCATAAAGGAGGACGGAGCGGACTGATGAGCAGTACACCCGCCCTTTGGTCGATAGTCGAACATCTCGTCTACGCCAGAGTCGGCGTAAACTGATAAATGCGAAACGAGCCCCTTGTATTCGTGCTGAGATTTCGTCAGAGATCAACCCGTTGGCGTTGGCTGATGGTACTTCCCAAATAAGTGAAGCGGTCAACGTGCTCTACCACTTCACTTCCTATTTTTAAACTAGGCGTCGATGTAGTCCAGTCCTGTAACATCATCTTGCATTTGGCGGGAGCGAATCGCATGCCAAACATTCGTAGATTGCGGCTCAAGGTGTTTAGAAGACTCTGCATTTCGTCAGCGTCTTCGCCTAGAAGGACTATATCGTCTGCATATTCCAAGTCAACGAGATTATTCCCCGGTAGCAAGTCAATCCCTGAGTCGCTGAAGTCACCTAGGGTTAAGTCCATTAACACATCTATGATGAAGTTGAATAGAAAAGGAGATAATGGGCATCCTTGACGGACACCACTGGTCGTCATCAGTTCAGATGACAGCTCGCCGTAAGCCCTCACCTGGCTGTATGAGTACGAGTAGAGTGCCTTAATCAGTGCAATATATTTTCTCGGAATTCCCTTTACAGCCAAGCATCTCCAGAGAACTTCCCGATCGACAGAGTCGAATGCTGCCTTTAGGTCAAGAAATATAATGACTGTTGGACGCCGGTAGGAATGCCTATGTTCTAGAATCTGTCGGAGGGTGAAGATATGATCAATACACCCTCTTCCTGGTCTAAAGCCTGCCTGGCTCTCTCGTGTTTGTGCTTCCCGAGCACCACTCAGTCTACGCATGATTATTGAGCCTAAGACTTTAGATACTATATTAGTCAAGCTAATCCCTCTGTGATTATCACAGGAAGACTTGTCTCCCTTCTTGTATATGGGGATAATCAGTGACTTACACCAACCCGATGGGACTTCTTCTGATTCCCAGACGCTGCCTAGTACCTCAGTTAATCCGGACAGTAAGCTGTCTCCACCGTACTTAAATACCTCTGGAGTCATTCCATCAGGTCCCGCTGCTTTGCCTAGTTTCAGATTGGTGACAGCTTTAGTAACCTCAGTTAGTGACGGAGGACCTGTGTCTATATCCCATTCAGGGAGGTGTTGGATGCTCGGAAGGTTGAGCGTGGCTGTGGGCAAATTAAACTGCTCCTCATAATGCTCTTTCCAACGATCCAGTCGTCTATCCTGGGAGCTAATTATAGTGCCATTTTTTTCCGAGATTGTCTCACTAATGATTTGTCTTCTCCCACCCGTTTCCCTGATGAGTCCAAAGAGTTGCCTGGTGTTGCCTATCCTCAAAGCTTTCTCCATCTCTTTGGCTTTTGTCGCCCACCACTGTTCACGGTCCTTGCGGAGACTTTTCGTAAGTTTCCTCTTGTGCAGCTTTCGCTCCTCATTGAATTCGGAGCTCGCCGGAATAAGTCTTCTAGCATCTATCAGTTCGGATGAGGCGGTGGAGATCCAGTGGTTTTTACTCACCTTTGGGTTTACCTTATTCACAGCTTTTACAGCTGTATCTATGGCTGCCTGGATATTTTTCCAAGCTTCTTCAGGGTGAGCACAGCTGTCGAACACAGATATGTGTTTAGCTAGTTCTTCCTCAAATACGGATTTAGTTTCCTGATCGAGCTGGGGACGTGATGGTTTTACCGCCAGCTGTTTCCTACGTCCGTTCAGTCGTAAGCACACCCGAGCGCGGACCAGTGCATGGTCGGTATCTACGCACGTGTTCCAGAAGGAGCGACAATCTCCTACCGACCCACGCCAACGATAGCTTATTGCTATGTGGTCTATTTGTGTCCAGCGTTGGTTTGATGAAGGGGGTCTCCAAGTCAAACAGTGTCTCTCCTTGTGTTTGAAGTTAGTGCTTGCAAGAAACAAATGATTATCAGAACAGAACTGTAGGAGACGGTCACCATCAGCCACTACCAAAAACAAATAGCAAGTCCCCAATGGAGTCAATGTAATGCTAATCATAAACAATTTTCACTACACACCCCATTCAAGAGCCATATGGCAATGCCTTGCGTTAGGTCATCCACAACGGGAAACTCAGCGAGGCATTCGAAGTGAACACAGAAGTAAGGCAGGGCTGCCTATTATCACCGATGATATTTTTAATTATGGTGGACTGGATTAAGCGTCACACTGTGCATTGGGCGCTAGGAGACAGGAGTACGCTGGACCGCCGATAAGAAGACTCTAGAAGATCTGGATTTTGCAGATGGAATATGTCTAATATCACACAAACTCGAAGATAACTAACCAAATAACAAATAGCAACAACAGCCAGAATCATCACCATCAACGCGAGAGATTTAACAGAAGTTACCTCATTCACTTATCCAGACAGGAAGCACCGTTTCAACTACAGGCAGTGAGAACGGATGAAGATGTCAAAGTCAGAATCAGAGAGGCAAGATACGCATTCATCAACCTGAAACCAGTTTCGAAGTCTTCTGCACTCAGCCTGCATAAGAAACAAGATTCGGATTTTCAACACCAATGTCAAGTCGGTCAGTTAGTGCTTCTATACGGGTCAGAAACTTGGCCAGCGTGTCACGAAAAGGATTTCCAACAGGCCACTGCAGACTTTCATCCACAGCTGCCTTCGTTGCCTGCGTACCAAAGATCAAATGGCCATAAAAAATAAGTAACAAGAAACTCTGTTTGGGCACCAACCAACCAAGAGGCGATCGCTCAACAAATATGTAAAAGAAAATAGAGATGGATCGGTCATACGTTGAGGAAACCGTTGAATGACATCGCGCGCCAGGCCCTTGAGTGGAATCCAAATGGAAAGCGAAGAGTGGGTCATCGGTGCGAGGGTGACATGGAGGAGATCGCTTGAGGAGGATATGACAGATTATGGGCAATAGTGGAACTAGCTGAAGAGGACGGCAGAAAATAGAAGAAAGTGGAGATTTGTTGTTGAAGCCCTATGTTCCTCTCGAAACTCAAGGAAATAATAATATACACAAAGGCCACAAAATGCAAAGCAGACATTAATACAACCCTTCAATGAGTCTAAAGTACCCAGACACTGGACACTTTTGTCCAACAGAATATGGATAAGAAAACCGAATCCCAGAGTATCAAGTAAAAGTACTAGGAAAAACAATTAGTAGAAATAGGGAGAAATTAATACTGTAATGTATACACTTACACAAACACTTCAATAAAAGAAAAGTGTAAACACTTACTTTCAACATACTGCTTTAATGGTAGAACTATGCCGAGAATTAAAACTCCTGTTATTGGTTTCAATGCTCGACTAATGCGCTTTAGAAGGGTTATCGGAGCTATACACCGGTCTAATAAGTTTAAGCAACTTATAACATCGAAATGTGATGGGACTTTTTGTGAATTCCATTCTTTATTTGGAGAATCCCACGAGTCAACGTCTAACACTCTACAGATAAAAAAAAGGAATATTTATACAATCAGTACCAAAAATAATGTAGAATGAGCACACGTCAGCACAACAGAGAGAAATAAAGTTAATAATACTGATTGCTTTAATCCAAACATCATTTTCGGTGTTTAAAAAGTGCGGTGTATAGTTCTAAGCTACAGAGATAAGCCATACAATAACGACATGGCTTCTGAGTTTAAGTTGGTTAGAATACGTGTTATGTATGCCTATTCACCGTCTGCCCCAACATGTTATTTTAGCAGAGACAGGCTTATATGTTGAAGGAACTAAGGGTTAGAACATGAGATGATCTCAGGCGATGAAAATATTGACTCCTATTCCGTGTGTAGGAAGATTTGGGTCACCTGGTTGAGGTCCAAGAGGCAATCTATGGTATATAGATGATTGCACTGGTACATATGCGATCGCTCTTCATCCTAATTATGATATTACACTTATTCGTTTGCTTTGCGTTCTTCTTTTGTCTTCATTCATGACTCAGTTTTTCAAATCTTATTATTTTATTTTAATTTTCTCAATGTGACAGGTATAAATGAAGTTTGATAACTGGGAGCATTATACAAGAATGTTAGGTTTTTTATAAACAACGGAGAGTGTACCACAAACTGGTTCATGAGAAGTCAACTTACGTGAAACCATGTTTACTTAAACGCCAACGCATTACTGGGGATATTTCTGTTACATAAACATTATTAAAGAAGGGGGCCATTTTCATGGTAACATTGCCGTCACCAGCTCCTGTGATAAAAAAAAGAAATTATAAGTGCAATGTGTGGGACACTAATGAAAGGTTCCTCTAACTGATAAATTCAGAAGAATTCTACCTCGTAGTTGTATCAGCTATCACGATTTATTTTTTGTGAAGCAGTACTAAAGATGACACAGACTAATATTGTAGTCCTTATTCAGAAACACTTGAGTCCGAAATGCAAGCTACAGATATCTAGAACTACAATGTTATGCACCCACAAACAACGCACACCTCGAAAAGAAAGAAGAATTCTACAGGCAACTACAGGCAACAATGGACAATACTCCAGCTGACGACATTAAAATACTAATGGAAGACATGAACGCCAAACTGGGACCAGACAACACAGGAAGGGAACTCATCATGGGTAGAGAAGATCTCGGAGAAATGAATGAAAATGGAGAACTCTTCGCCGACTTCTGAGCCTTCAACGAACTAGTCATTGGTGGCAGCGTATACAAACACAAAGATATCCACAAAGCTACATGGGTGTCACCAGATGGGCAAACCAAAATGCAAATTGACTTCGTCTCAATCTCAAGGAAGTGGAGGCGCAGCCTACTGGACACAAAAGTAAGAAGAGGAGCAGACGTTGACTCAGACCACTATCTCGTACAACGGACAAGCCAAGTCAAATTAAAAGCTTTCAGGGAAACAGGAGCTGCAGATAGACCACAAGCCAAGTTCAGCACTCAAAAACTGAAGGACCAGGCTACAAAGGACATCTTCATTGCAAGCTTAAGGGGCAAAGACGAGACACAAATCAACACTAGTGAAGAAGTCGGTGTCGAAAAGCACTGGAACAACTTGAAAACGGTGTGGAGTCAGACCTGCATGGAAGGTCTAGGCAGAAGGAAGAGGCAGAACAAACAGTGGCTCACTACGGACACTTGGAAACTAATAGAAGAGAGAAGGATAGTGAAACAAAAGATTATCCAGTGCACCGACGAGCAACAAAAACAGGAGTTGAATGCAAGCTACAATACGCTGAACAAAAGAGTAAAGAAGAGTGCCAGGGAAGACAAAAAAGATATTGTGAAGCCATGCCAAGTGAAGCAGAACAAGCTGCAGGCGAAGGAGACCTCGCCACACTCTACCAAACAACTAGGAACCTATCGGGCAAAAGTTCGACACAAATTAGGCTAGTAAAGGATGACAATGGAAAGTCAGTCACCAAAGAGGCGGAGCAAAGAAAACATTGGGCTGAACACTTCAAAAGACTTCTAAATCGACCGCTACCTACAACACGCCCAACAATACCAACAATGGAGGCAGAACTACCAGTGAACATCAACCCCCTGACGACAACAGAAGTCCTGAAGGCAATCAAGGTGCTAAAAGCTGGAAAAGCAGCAGGACCAGATGGAATCCCACCAGAAGCATTGAAAATGGATCCAGAGACAACAGCGGACTTGATGACGCCACTACTGGAGAAGGTATGGAAAGAGGGCAAAGCACCCGAGGATTGGAAGAAAGGATACTTATTCAAACTGCCAATGAAAGGAGACTTAAGTCAATGCAATAACTGGCTCCTGTCCATCTGAAGCGAAATACTAAGCCAAATCATCCCACAGAGAATCAAACAAGCCCTGGATGAAAAAATTCGACCGGAACAGGCTGGATTCAGGGGAAACAAGTCATGTATTGATCAAATCGCCACACTACGAATCATCATTGAACAGAGCTTGGAATGGCAGTCACCTCTCTATCTCAACTTCATCGACTTTGTAAAGGCCTTCGACAGCGTCGATCGAGAGGTGATTTGGCAACTACATCGCTACTACGAGGTGCCATCGACAGTTATATATCTCATCCAACAGTTATACAACAATCCTGCACGCCAAGTAATCCACAACGGGAAACTTACGGAATCCTTCGAAGTGAGGACGGGAGTGAGGCAAGACTGGCTGTCTACTATCGCCAATGATCTTCCTGATTGCAGTAGATTGGATAATGTGACGGACAGACAACGGGCAATGAGGAAACAGGCATAAAATGGACCCACACAAAAGACTTGGAGGATCTGGACTTCGCCGACGATATCTGTCTGATTTCCCACAAACTGGAAGATATGCAAGTGAAAAGCAACAAGTTGGCAGAAGAAGCATTCAGAGAAGATAGGACTTCAACTGAACATAGATAAAACAGAGGTGATGAAGATTCCTGGACAACACCAACAGCAGCAACAACAACAGACAACAATCAGCCAGCATAAATGGGAGGAACCTGAAAGAAACAACCTCCTTTACCTACCGACATGGGAAGCATCGTTTCAACTACAGGCGAACAGAACTGACGAGGATATCAAAGCAAGAATCGGAAAAGCAAGACAAGCTTTCATTACTCTCAAGTCTGTGTGAAGGTCAACAGCACTCAGTATCAAAAATAAGATCCGGATTTTCAAATCCAATGTGAAGTCAGTGCTACTCACTATACGGATCAGAGACTTGCACTATGCGTCATTAAGAGCATCTCAAACAAACTTCAGACCTTCATTAACAGTTTTCTTCGCTCAATACTCAAGATCAGATGGCCGGTCAGAAAAGATCAGCAACAGAGATCTCGTAACTAAATCTCAGGAGTGATCAAGAGGAAACAATTAAGTTTCTCAAGCAAGTGTATTTTAGGTAGTAATAGTGACAGTGTGACCGAGTGACTGACTGAGTTTTATCATAGAACTTTGCACAGAATTACAGAAGTTCAATTTGCCACACTCCATGAAGAACACGGAGGCAGAAAAAAGAAAGAGAAAAGGGATTCAAAAGGACTACAATAAGCAGAAAATTGACGGGTGAAGAATAGTAACATGGAGGAGCATTAGGGTTTGTTGGATATGAGAAGTCCCAAAGAGGGAATACATCTACACCACTGAGAACGATTCTGTGCCATAACATCAATTAGAATCACTCCGAACAGGAAGTCTTCACCTCCCTATGTAATTCAAACCAACTGTTGAACATTTCATGGACTGATGCCATCTGAGAGCTGATCAAGAGGAAACTAACTTTGCAGCATAGAACTTTGGACAGAAGTGAATAGTGACAATTTATGAATAACACAGTGCTTCTTGTTATTTCAACAAATATTACATATCACAGTGCTTATCACTTGAAGTATTCCTTTATACTCGGCAACTTCTGAGATCCCTAAGAATAAGAGTGTTATAGGAAACACCATAACACTGTGATATAACTAAATATCTGAATGGTAAAGCTGTAAAACTGCTGATCCACATCATCTTATATGGTATACCAAAGAGTTGATTTTCCTCAAAATCAAACTATCGTTATACACAGACTGGATATCAGGAATGGAAGCAATGAGGCACCTCCAGCAAAATTTGGGAAGGTATGATATTTAAAAAGTATATTATTTGTTATCGTCCAATAGCAGCAAATGTTTGCCAGAACTCCATCACTTAGAACAGGTTTTTTATGTGGCCAGTCGAGTCAAACAATTATTCCATGAGAGCCAATGTTACTATTCAATTTGTCAAAATGAAGTAGATGCTTCTGAAATCGAGCCCTGGACACATTTGTCGAAGGTCGACGAACCACATCCCCGTCGGTGATTTGAGCATGAAGTAGACAAGTGACTCAAGACCAGCGTTGGAATTCATAATCACACATTTAGTACCAGTTGGTATTGTAGGTACTGCTATTGACTGCAGCTACCAATTTAAAACTGCCCGATGGCTGACTAATGATTGCTTACTTAGTCCCACTGCTGATTGAAAACACATCACATATTACAATATGATTATGTTAATAAAAACAACCGAGATAAGTCCTAGCATGTTTATCTAAGACAGTGTATTGCGAGACCACAGCTTGATATTCTAGTAATAGTTTAATTTTGATGACTTGTAATTTGACCACTGAATGTAGTGAATCCTTATTTCAAGTAGAAGGAGAACATTTAGCTCCAAATTTAACTTCACAGACAACAAGCTGCTTAACAAAAACATTTACTGGAAAACAACTAGGAGTATTGTTTCCTTTGAATGCCAGACATTTTTAGAAGGAAACAGGATACTCTATTATCACTCTCAGTATTATTTACGCAATTGTTTCGGGATAGATTGTATATTAGTTACTTCAGGGTGTATGAAAATCTCTTCATTCGTATAAACTAAACTTGTAACAAGTACAGTATTCAACCTCCATATAATAAATAATACCATTACCTACCTAAGTCAAGTAGATAATCAAATTTGAAATTGTCGTTAACGTTTAACAAACGAAGAAACTGAGCTGACGAAAAGACAAACATGGAACCACGACCAAGTAAACTAGAAAATCCACAAGTGAAACAATGAAAAATAAATGTAAAATTGCCTTAGAAACATCAGTAGTGTGAGATTTTGATATTTATAGTGAAAGCATGCATATACAATCCTAAAGATGCCACTGAAATCACATTTCAAACTATTCTATTGTTTCTAACTAGAAAAAGTGCTACGTGATGATTCTAACTGCGAATACATATAACAAAAACATAACATTGCATAAAATTTAGGGAAGAAAAACCAAAATTTCAGACAAACAAGCCGGCAAGGCAAGAAAGCTAAGAAATTAAGAGTACGACTACCATTAGCTTTCAGAAATGTTTAAGAGCCTTCCATGATATGAACCCCAAAGTACTTACAAATGATTTGAAATACTGGGATAAACACTAACTTAATGTACCATGTTATCATACCGTATACTGCTTCCTACAAATTCCAAAATAAATGGAATTTCGGTGTTTTCAAGTAATAGAAATAGATACTTGACTTTTAAGCAGCGAACCACAGAAACTCCTCCGCACCATTTAGTATGATTTGTTGGGTAGTGCTGAGTTGCACTACATCGACAATGAGCATAACGTAGTCCAAAATAAGGAATATAAAAGTCAAGAAAGCTCACTATGACTCACTGTCGTTTGTTAAGTGTAACATACCAAACACGATATTTTATTGTTACCAGAGAAAAACAAAGCGGATGCCCGGTGCTCTTCACCGGGTTGACTGTCCATTGGATGACAGTCTAGGGGAGATGGCTAAACCCTGATTCCGAACCAATGACTGGCGTATGAACCTCACAGGAGCTCACCGGCAGACGTATGGACAAAGGGCTTATTGGATGCCCTGGATGTCTGGCCCCATTCAAAAAGGTGTATGAACCGGACTCCGGTCACCGGCTGCCAATGGATAGTGGATTCCCTACTCCACTCCTACTGCCTTGTAGGTCACACTTGATTGTGTAAAGGCTAGAGCTGCACTCTCAAGCAAAAGGCCGAACGAAGCTGGGGAGATAACTCGCACCTAATTCCCATGAAACTTCATGAACTCTCTTCAACAGATCGCCGCGCCTGGGCAGCGATGATTCGAGATGTTCATGAAGCCGGCTCATCCTCCCGTAGGAGATAGCCGAAGTAAAGTAAAGTAAGAGAAAAACAAAGAAGCGCTGTAAATCTCCTGAATGAAGGTTTTACTAATATTCACTGATTTACATATTGAGCACGTTGACAACTCACTACATGCTTTGTCCACCCACATTTAGTTACCAGGAATCATAATTTTAAAAATCCATACGTTATATTATCAGATATTAGACATCTGTAACTGACTGAGTTACATTTATGTCTATAATTTATAATAACAGAATACAACTAAGCAAGGAAAATAGCGAGAATAAATTACCCATTTATTGAAGTCGATGTCATGAACCATGTCAAAACAGCCTTTGCAATGGCGTGGCAAAAGTGTGTTAACAACCAATCCGACTTGACAAAACAATTTTCCAAAAAAGTACTAGTCTCTTCATCTTGTTTGCACCTAATAAACTTATCCCGAAATTCATTTTCCATATATTCAGGATGGTATTCATACCACTGATTGAACAAAAAACGACAATATTTATAAACTATTTCAAATAACTACGTGATTATGGTCTGAGTTTAAGTGTTTATTCTGATGTTCCAACTTTTCATACATAATCCTTATTAAAGGACTTCGAATATATTCACTCATTGATAGAACTGGATGGGGAAAAAAACAAGACATTCTGAGTGGATTAATATAATAATAAATAACGTAACTAAAATCCGAATATTTCAAATGTCAAGAAACTAGAACATGTAAAACTTATATATATATTCTACTAAGCAACCAATCTTTGTGAAACCTTTGGGTTGAATCGTCGTCAAATTTTATATAAATGATTAGAAAACTGATATTAATATTAATGTAAAGTAGTTGGAAGCAATTGACACGTTAAACTGATATACATACAGAAATTATCAGTAACTTGTTAAACTCAGTTGCCGTAAAGGGTCATTCGTATTCCAAGCTATGAGCTGATAATACTGCCCAATCCCTAGGTTGAAGCAGGTGAGGTTGAAGTCGAACTATTGTCTCAAACTGGAAACTGAGTGCTGAGGTCAATGAGATACATCTCTACAGCAGTATTCATTAGGCCAGTGGGCCATATAGCAATGGGATCTAGGACTCGCTAGACGGACGTACCTGAGTCCTGGGAAGTGTTTTCCGAGACTTAGACTCGAAGTCAGTACCCACTGCATCAAACGTTAAGGCGTTATTCACTAGGCCACTCGGTGACTATCAGTGATTTCGATACGACTGATGCTCATTTGGAAATTACGAACCAAATTTTCCAGTTGTACACTTGCAGCCATTATTAATGTCATATTTGTACTGACAGTTACTTACGGTAAGGCTGTATTGAATGTTTACTATTGACGTTATTCCCATGAGTTCCGAGTGGAACATAGGGCTTTGATAGAACATCTCCTTTTTGTCCTGTTCTCTGCAGTCCTCTGAATCTGGCACCATGATTGCCAGTAAGCTCCCATCTCCTCCTCGCATTGTGTCCCCCAAATCACGGGACGCACAACTCGTTTTACCATTCGCGTACCTATCGAGCTATGGCATGGTGCGAGATATCTATGGTTGGCCTGCGAATTTTGGGCTACCGATATCCACGCTGAAAATTCCACACTTGTACCAAAAATACGGTGTGGAATCAAGCTGTAACCATAAAATAAAAAGATGTCATTCAACTGTCTCCTTAGCATGTGTCCCATCCAACTCTGTTTTCTCCAGATTCTTGGTTGGTTCGTTCTCAAGGTTTCTTGCAACTGCTTCTTTCCTGCTATCTGATTTTCACCAAGGAGCTAACAAAGGCAGTTGTTAATAAGTCTCTAGCGGCCTGTAGGAAATGCTTTATGGGACGAGTCATGATTTTGAACCACCACTGGAATTTCACACTACCTTATCACGATATCCATAACGGTTTCTAGATTCAGTCAGTAAACCTCTGCATTCTATAGCTAACATTGTTACACTAGGTGATTTCAATGCCTTCATACTTCCCACACCTCCGTTCCCATACATTTTGATCGATCCTCACTTAATAATCATAGTCATTCATTATGATATATATTTTGAGTGGAAGGCTTCAATGGCACATCCACAGTTCTTCCCATATCCTGCAGGCTTCATTAGGTAGCTGCATGATTGCCCATAGACTTTCACTTCTTTCAGAGTAGTGTAGGTTCAATTCTAGTTTTGACATCCTCATTCATGCCGTCACCTGTAGTTGAAACGACGCTGCTTAGATACGTGAAGGAAGTAACCTCTTTCAAAAATTCTTCTACCGATAGTGATTGTTGCTTGTTGCAGTTAGTTGATTATTTTCATCACTTCCATCTTCTCTATGTTCCCTTGAATTCCCATCTTTGCCTCCTCTTCTATCAAATTGTTGCTTTTCCATGTAGACCTTCGAGATTGTGTGAAACTAGACACAAATCTTCTATGTAGTCGAGATCTAGAGTCTTCTTGTTGCTCTAACATATTCCTGTCTTCTTGCTTCCCACAGTCTCCCATATGATCCAGCCCACCACAATTAGGAATATCATCGGCGATAGTAGGCAGTCTTGTGTTATTCCTGTCCTCAATTCAAAGGCGTCGCTGAGTTTTCCGTTGTGGATCACTTGATATGTGGTATCATCGTCATATGGTTGTTGAATGAAGTTGATAAACATTTAGAGCAGTCCATAGTATTCAAGTAACCCGAATTACCTCGCCGCCAATGCCGTGGAAGGCCATCTCAAACTTGGAGTTGGGGTAGACATTTTTCTCTGTTCCATGATGGTGCACACAGTAGCAATTTCATCCGAATAAGCTTAATTGACTGATCCGGTGAGCATACCAGTATTTTTCAAAATCCAATTGAAGTAACTGCAAACAGTATAAAAAATCTGAAGCGCACGCATAAATCTCAACTGTTTAATTACTTTATATAATGATATTTCGATATGTGCAATTTATGTTATAGTTTGTTTACACGGAGCGACCAATGAAACGAAATGTGGAATCCACCCGGCTAACAAGAAAAGACCAGTATCCATCCAAAACCGAGTAAAATGTTATAAATGTGTACAATGTTGTAGTCAGAAGTCACCCCCGATATGGAACAAGTCAGCAAAATTTTGTCACTGCTACAATTTGATTTACCGCCAACATAGTCTGTTTCACATTGTAAAATAGAATCCTGATACGGAAATCGCTAGGCAACCAAACAGCCACTGACTGATATAATGTCCATTTACACGTTTAAATAACCTGCAAATAAACCTGCGCAATTTGGACATTTTAGCAACTACTTGAATCTGTTGCATTTTTACAGCGAATAGAATGACCGAAAACTGCAAAATTAGGTGGTAAATTACCCACTCTAAAACGGTAGGCGAAGTTACAGTATAACAGCCAAAGTGTCAGTCTCTCAAAAGTTGACCTTCACGAACCAACCAGATAACGGAAATGTTTCGAATGATTACCCCGAATCAAATTGTGATTGCCTTTTTTGCACTTGTAGATGTTAATGCAGCATCCCGCTTAATGTCTGGGTACTTCCTCAGTAATGCTGAATTAAATGTCCCTAATTCTGAAATAACTCTAAAATTTTATATTGAGCATATTCTGAAATGGTTTGATTAAGCGCAGACCAGAACTCAGTGCTGGTTTTCAGCATGACTGGCATTAATTCAGCACCCTGTGCTTTCCCTAAGCGCTTTCAGAAGTGGATCAAAAGTCACTGGGTTTTTTATCAGTGTTGTTTTAGCCCTCTTAGTTCATATTCAGTACTGACTAGCATTACTTCAGAACAAAGGGTAAGCTAATGGCTTTTTAAATTAAGGTTCAGGGTCTGGAGTTAAGGTCAGGCTTATAGTCAAAGTCAGGATCAACAGTTAGAATTCTGGTGAGAAGTAGGAATAGGTTGAAGAATAGTGTCGAAAATATCAAGAGATCTCAAAGTACCATGACCTAAAGTCACCTGGATGAATATTCATCCATATGCATATGCATCTTTCGCGCATGGTATGCTTCCTTTGAAGGACTTCTTGGTTGTGACCAGGAGACATCCTTATAACACACAAGCGACAACTAAGCAGCGTAATATCATTTTTGCAATGCTTTTCCAATGTATTTTCCAACGGTCATGCGAATTTTTTGCATCTGAATTCTGATCGATCGTTCACGGTCACTATGGCTTTGGCTATGATATTGTTACAATGCCAGACAGTGATTATTCGCATGTCGCCTATCGGCAGTACTTCAGGAAATAAGTACAAAATAACAGCAGGAACTTACTGTCATATTAATTCTACTACCGTACCGAAACACTAAGAACGCAGCGCCTTTTCTTGGTATCAATATCCAATATGGTTTTGACGAACTAGTATAAACTTTATTGAAATAAATATCAAACTTAGGCATGACTCCATTATGGATGAGGTTTCACTTCGATAAATCACACAGTGTTGTACAATAATATTAACTGGTGACTCTTCAAAAACAAACTATTGCTTATATCTATGGTCGGCCTGCAAAATTTGGGCTACCAATATCCATGCTGAAAATTCCATACTTGTACCAAAAATACAGTGTGGGATCAAGCTGTAAATCAAAAAAAAATGAAAAAAATAATCATATCAAGTTTATATATATTTATATATG